AGGTGGTGTGAAAACTGGAAGAGAAAAAGCCCTTGAATGGGCAGCTCCATCCCTTTCTTCCTTTGAAAAAACAAAGCAAATGACAGGTGTGTCATTTACTGGATATAGCACTTGCTGTTGTATTAAGATTTCCAGGTCACATGCTGAAATTCTGTACCCATCATGTGTACCTGACCATACAATGTTTGACAGATATGACACTGATTTTAGTGATCCCTCTGCTCTGGAGATTAAGCTAAGTAGAAGGTGCAGGTTATTCTCTGCATGATTTGCTGGAGGGCAGCACTAATGAGAAACCCCTAATGTGAAAAAAAAGGGCTTATAACTGAGGGGAAAAAAATCCAATGAATGTTTAAAAAGGAAGATTCAGCTCAGCTGTTCCCATAGGGAGTTTGCTGACCAGCTTTTTTCTTTTTGATATCGCTGCAGATCAGCAGTTCACCCTCTGTATTGCAGACCTTTCTTCTAAAGCTTGCCAGCTCTCCTTTCCAATGACTAACTACATTTTTGCAATAGATGTGCAAACACATGCTGAATTTGTGAGACCAGACACTGGGTATTTAGTGGTAGCAAGAGAGTATTTGTCTACAATTCACAAGTATAATAAAGTCAACGTCATTTAACAAACAAATAATCAGTGGAAATAGATTTCAACATTGTGTTTCATTGGCAGACTTGGATGCACTGTGGTATCTTTTAGAGTCAAATAATAATCTTCAATCTCTACAACAACACAGCATTCCTGTAATAGAACGAAGTTTCTGTAGGACAGTACATCAATAGATTATATATTGTTGTGTTCTGCCTTCTAAAACAGCCCCTTTCAGAGCTGTGACTAAAGAAAGCCACAGACAAACACAACAGTGTCAAAGAATGTGATCTGCACCACCCCACGGCAACATAGGAAATGTTTCTTTTAGCTTAGTGAGATCTGATAACTTCTGTGTTTAACAGGAATGTGGATTATAATCAGATCACTCATTAATTTAACCTAATAACAGGGTATAGGCAGTACCTTTTGAATAAACAACTAGAAAGAAGGAAAATATCAAAGATGATTTTTTGGGAAATATTGCTAAACAGCTGACCTTTATGTACTATAAATGAAATTCAAGCTTAGCATAATCTATCTTTCAGAAAAATTATAATTAGGTCTAATCTTTTTTCTTAATACCTGAAATAACTTACAGAAAAGAAAGAAAAAAGGCAAAAAAAAGTAATAAAAAGGCTTTATTACAGATGAGGTAATCCTCAATTTCACATCTTTGTCTGTAGAGTATATGTGCATTTTTTCTTCTACTAGACAGGTTTATCTGAGGAAAAAAGAAAGACAGAGCTAATTTAGACTGGAGAAATGAAATGTGAAGCAATGCCTGAAAAAGAGTTAAGCACTAGGTCATCTTATTGCTTATATTATAGCAACCTAATTTATTTCTGTCTATCCCATTGTTTAATTATAGGTATAAACTAAGCTAACTATATAATGTCAGTGAATATTACCTACCTTTCATGTTTGTATCTATTGATGCTGCAGCATTCCAAACAGCAATTTGTGGATTAGACTTGGGGCTGCCAGCCCCAAAGGGCTGTTTCCCAGCTGCTGTCAGTGTTGTTTGTTTGTGACAGGTTCTGTTCATGCATCCTTTTATGTTAGTGCTCAAAAGACATGCATTCACATACTTGAAAGCATAGGTATGTTTAAATATTTATGGAATGAGAAGAATTTTTAAAATCTTTCTCTAAAATACTGTTAGTGGGAATTTGCATGTTGAAGTGCACATGCTGCAGGTATAAGTAATTTTTAGACTCATAGACCAATTTAGGCTCATAGAACAGCCCAACTTGGAAGAGACCTCCAACCTGGTCCAACCTTTTGTGGGAAACAGAGCCTAGATGGGATTATTTAACAACGTGTCGATTCACATCTTGAGAAAAAACTTCTTTCTTTATTGAGATGAAACCTCTCCCAGTGCAACTTGTACCCACCACCCCTTGTCTTCCCTCTACTCCACTCTTTTCAGAACTACTTGGTATACTGCTTCCAGCTCTGGGGGCTCCAGCACAGGAAGCACATAGACTCATTGAAGCAAGTCCAGAGGAGGGCCACAAAGATGATTAGAGGCATGAAACACCTCTCCTGTGAGGAAAGGCTGGAGAATTGGGATTGTTCAGTCTGGAGAAGAGAAAGGTCTAGGTGTTCTTGTAGCAATCTTTCAGTAACTAAAAGGGCCTACAAGAATGCTGAGAGGGATCTTTTTCAAGGGCATATACTGATAAGACAAGGGGAAATGGCTTTAAACTGAAAGACTGCACATTTAGATTAGACACCAGGAAGAAATTCTCCCTGTGAAGGTAGTAAGGCACTGGAACTGGTTGCCCAGAGAAGCTGTGGATGCCCCATCCCTGGAAGTGTTCCAGGCCAGGTTGGATGGGCCTTTGAGCAACCTGGTCAAGTGGAAGGTGTCTCTTCCCACAGCAGGGGGCTGGAACTGAAGGATTTTTGAGATCACTTCCAATCCAAACCATTCTACAATTTTATGATACAACAATTCTCCATGTGACTTCTGTTAAAGAAAGAGCCTCCATCTTCTTTGTAGCCACACTTAAAGTAATGGAAAACTGTGGTGAGTTCAGAAAATGGTGAGTTAAGCTCACCTGTTCAGTGCTGCACTCGGAGGGAATGGGAGAGGCATTCAAACCTTCAGGGATAGCTATGAGCAATGTAAGGAGTAACTGCCTCCTTGGTGTTTGGTACCACCTTCCCTCCATCTTCAGCAGAGATGATGGGTGCACTTTGTGCCTGCACAGCTGCTGTGGAACAGACATCCAGCAAGTACAGGCACGATGACATGAGCGTGGATTGAGAGAGGAGGTGTTGAGCTGTGTCCACATCCAAGAGGTGACACCAAAGAGTGCATTTTGCTCAGATGTATGCTAGGGCTGTGCTGGCAAAGTGCAGAAATCCACAGCACATGAGCAATGTGCTGTGGATGTCATCCATGCAGCAGTGACCATCTGTTCTGGCTAGGTCAGCCCTGTTCCTCCCTCCAGTGACAGGAAAAGGCTGTGTGCCACTTTGCCCACCTCATGTGCCAGGATTTAATGCATGTGCCAGTACCACCAGCCTTCCCTGCCCCAGGACCTGGCTGCTCCCAGCAGCATGTCTTCAGCAGTTGTTCTTGTGTATGTGGTGTGTTGTATGTGCATGTCTTTGCAAAGCCTAGTTGTGGAGTGTGAGCTGTGTTACACACTGTACGTGCTACAGGCTCTGCAGGGGCAGATGAAGGGGCTTGTTGCAGTTCTTTCAGACCTTGCCCTTTTCTGTGTTCAGTCTGTGAAGGATGGAGTTTTGAGGACTGCTGGAAGAAGTTGTCGCCTTAGAGGTGTGACCATGACTTCTGGATGTCTAGCTCTCCCTTTAAATGCAGAATCTGCTTTCAGCATGGACCATTCCCATTCATTATTTCCCTTATCTGTTCTGCAGCTCTTTGGTACTGCTTGAGCCTCCCAAGAGCAGCATGGCCCCATTGCTGAACTTGTTCTCTTCTGAAGCCTTTTGCCTCTCACTGTCTGGAAAATCTTTGAAATGCGTGTGTTTGCACTGCACACTCTGATTTTTCTAATGAAGTTTCAGGGAAATTATCCTTAGTCCAAAAATTGACTTTTACATTTTTGCTGATCCCCCAGATTTAATACTTATTACATAGTAATCTCATGTAAAAAATGCTTTCTAAGCAGTAATGTTCTTGAAATCATCCAAAAATCTTTCTGTCTTCAAATAACACATGGGCAGACAAAGAAGTTAAAAGGGATGTGATCTTATTTGATTACGCTGTCCTTCATGGTAAATCACACTGAGTAAACAACTAACATGTAGTAGCCCAAAGGGAAGCAAAATCAAATTGCATCATCTAAAATCAAGGTAACAACATCTGGAGTAGTTTTCCAGAACTGTAGACCTAGTCTCTTCCTTTGATTGTTCCAGACATTCTCATTAGGAAGAAGGTGCAATCACATAGCTCTGGTTCCTGCTATATCAATTGGCATTGAACAGTAGTGTATCCTGCACAATTTGTTAAATGCCATTGTTAGTCCACAGAATTGCAATTCTTAATTAGCTGTATCCTTTCAGGAAGTGGTATTAAAGTCAGGTTTCTTTGGGTGTTTCTTACCTAGGATCTTTGTTTCCTGGTGACATACTGATAGTTTCTAAAATATATTTTATTTTTGAAATCTCAAGGTGCTCTCACAAACATTTGATGCATTTCTTTTTTTATCGTGGATTTTCTGGATTTATTGCTGGATGTCTCTGGAAAAAGCCAACCATAATTAAAAACTGTGTTTCATAACACTTCTTTGAGAAAGCTTTTACCAAGGGTCTATTGGCAAGAAGATTGAGTTTCTTGCATTGCAGGCAAGCTGGGATTTTTTTAGTTTTTTTCCTTCAGAGGCATATGGGACTCTATTTTCACAGAGTTAATGGTCCCCACAGGGTGCAGATTTTTCATAAGCATGCTGCATGCAGAAAACCCCTGATTTATATGGCCAAATTTAATAAATCTGGTCAACTTGTGTGTTATGCACATTCCTACTATTTGGACCTGAAATGACTGAATTAAAGCATGTGTCTAGACTGCATGAAAACCACCCTCAGTCTTTGTCTATTAATCACCAGAGGTGAGGACCAGATGGAGTAGTGTGGCTCTCTATTGGCTCTGGTTTTCTTCCCATGGATTTGAAATATACATCTGAATCCAAGAGCAAGGCAGTGCTTTTGAGTGTTATCATAGAGCAACAGCTCTCCTGAATGTGTGGAACAGTTATAAACTGTCTTATCCTCTGTCTGATGGATGACACAACCACTTGAATGCACTTTCTGTTGGTAGAAAGTGCTATTACATACTAGATAACCCTGCTTCCCTCTGCTGGAATCTATCTTAGTATTTTAGGGCAAAGTATTTGCAGGTTGATTTGTTAATTTTTCCCCTCTTTCTTGACAGCTCCTAGACTGTTTTGTCATCCCAGTGGTGATACTGCTCTCCTGGTTCTTCTTACTGGTACGATACAAGGCAGTGCATTTCATTGGGATTGTGGTCTGCATTCTGGGCATGGGCTGCATGGCAGGAGCAGATGTTCTCGTTGGGAGACAGCAAGGAGCAGGTAAGTAAGGATGGATGGGTTGTATGGCCAAGTTCTGTTCAGAGAAGCCATTGTCCAGAAGGTGTCAGACTGGGGCCAAGAGAGGGGAGTTGTGGCAAGAAACCCTGTGCTTTATGGATCCAGAGCACTGCACCATTCAGAGCTGCCTATTTGTCAGAAGCGACAGAGAAGAAAAATGGGTCAACACTTACAAGTAGCAGTGCTGCAAACAGACTTCGTGGGCCGTGCAGCACAGGTTACCCTCTGCACAAACTGGAGGGACAAGCTAAATATTTGTAGTTTCATTTTCTTTTGGCTTACTTGTTTGACTGCAAACCACAGTTGCTTCCTTTCCAAATTGGCTACATATTTGAGTCATAAGCATCTCTCACAACCACTGTGTGCCCTTACTTCTCCTCAACTTTACTAAGTTTTCTACAGAGGTGGGGTCACTGGGTCGGTGCTAAAAGACACCGAACTTATATACTAACCGTACCAACTGGGTTTTGCACACCATCTCAGCACCAAAGGTTTGGGATTTGCCTGCCCAAATCATTGTTGCAATAAACCTTCTTGTGTGTAAAATGTTCTTTTTGGTGTGTGGCATCATATGAATAATGTGTGTGTAGCTATTAATGCAGACTAGACAGAGATAGATTTCATCGATCAACTTCCCCTGTCACATTGATTTCTCTAGTGCCAACCTAAATGATGTGGGAAGGCTGGAAATTCTTTTCAAAGATTGTCAATTAGGCACAGTTTTCATTCTTAATTAAAACCACTGAATTGTGAGCTGAGCATAATACGCTGGGATTTAAAATTCTTGACTCAGCTTTCTGAATACAAATGCAAGTGCTGTAAGAACTGCATTTGCCAGGATGCTACTAAATAAAACAACAGAGTTTGTGACAGTGCTCACCATATCTCCCTGCCCCTTTTATCCCAGTCCTTTATCCTAAAAGGAGACTTTTAGTTCATTGGTCTCTTCCAGAAACAGCCCTGCCACAACTAAAAAGAAAACAATATGCTCTGTACTATGTAATCAGCCAGCCAAAGCTGCATCGAGAATGACTGATTTCAGTGGGTTTGAGATTTCAACCCTGGCTTCCAGAAGAAATATCCTGTGTCCCAGTAATCTAGAGAGTAAGCTGTGGATATAACGAATGAGTTGTGGATCAGCAGGAGCACATGAGGCAATGGACCTTAGCAGACAAGGAACAGATTGAAGAACACTGACACTTTGCCATCCAACTGCAGTAATTAGATGCTATTTGCCATGTCATTATTAAAGCATGGGTAGATGTTAGATAAATTTGTCCAGAAAAAATTGTTAACATGCATTATTGCCTTTTAATTCAGACCTACACTTGAAAAACTGTGTCTGTGCTTATTGCTACACAGAGAGACTGCAGGTTTTTTGTTTTTTTTCATGGTAAAATGATGTTATTAATGATGTTGTCTTCAGCTGAGTTAAATAGATCATCTGGTTTAATTTCTCTTAAAAGGTAAACCTACATATTAAGATTCTACAAATAAAGAGAAATATTGGCAGAAAAAAAGAAGAAAATTATTGATACTCTTTATTAAGGGGTTCTACACCATTAACAGGCTATTTCCCAGGACTGGGCAAACTAAAGAAAGGAAGACACCAAAAGCAATGATGCTTTATTAGTCCTCAGCAAAATTCTCTGTTTATCTTATATTTTAGGGGACAAGATCTGTTGACATCTGTGTGTCCTTGTTGACCACACTGCTTACTGCATTAGAAGGGCCACAAGGCTCTGCTATGCACCTTCTGCATCAGGCAATTTAACTGTCAACTCTCACAATAAGGGAACGTGAATTTAAAATGCATCACTGAGAGATTATCAGGTATTTTCCAAACTATCTGCAGGAATTAGGTATAATGTACACACGTGCTCTCAATTTTCCATAAATATAAAGCAGTTTGCCTCTTTTAATTGTATCCTGACTGATGTTTTGTACATTATTCAATGCGATAAGGAATTACTATCCAGTACTTAGTGCTCTATCACCTTACATGCCAAGCATACCTTAAAATAACACTTCTCTGAACTAATACTCATGAGTTGCCTTGGTACTTGTGCTCCTGTAATACACAGGGGTCTAAGCCACAGAGGGCCAAGTGTTTCATCCAGGTTTTTCGAAGCACTTCACAGCTTTAGCTTATCACCGTCTCTGAAAAACCATCACATCAGTCCTGTTAATAAGTATATGAATGTGTGTTCAGTCTAAAATGGGGCACATTTAGACTGATTTTTAGATATTGCTATCATCAGTAATTGCAACCAGAAGCAAAGAGAAACACCTCTTAATGGTGGAGGTTAAGGTAAAAATGTGACAAAGAGGTCTAGTGAGAGTGTGAAAAGAAATCACGTCAGGACACAGTTCATATTTAAATGATTTATGTTACATTATAGTGCTATAACCAGTTCCCAAGACATTAACTCCTCTCTGGACTGTATGGCTTCTGCTTCCAGAGAACATTAAATATGCTAACAATGATTAATGCAAAGTTTCTTTTGTCAGGCTATGCCCTGTGTTTCTTCTGAAGAATGACCTACACTGTTAAATTGGTCAAATGCAACTTTATTAACCTAAAAGTCTTTAGAATGCCTCTAGTCAGTTGTCACATATTTCCTTAGCAACAAAACCAGTAGATGCATGTGGATTTTACGTCCCTGAAAACATGTCTGTAGGGATATGTCAGTCTTGAGGGAAAGTTCCAAAGTCTCAGCCTCTTGAGGAAGCAAAAAAAAAAAGGCATTTGACAACCAGGTTGCTAGTAATTGCTAGGAAAGAAAGCAAAAGTATAGTTTACAACATTTTTATGGCAGTATATAAAGTTTTGATGCATTAATCTCTTGAGTATCACGTGTTACTCTAGTCACTGCATCTCAAAAGGAAATAACCAGAAAATAAGCCTATATAAGCAATAGAGGAGTGTGAGAAAGATGTTTGAGGGCATAAAATGGCTTCAGGATGAAGAGACTGTAGGCAGACTGGGACTTTCCAGCTCTCAGAAAAGGCAAGAAAGAGACAGAATACAGTGAAGGTATATGAAGTTTTCAGTGGTATGGAATATTTCTTACAGTCAGAAAATTATGGGATGACCAATATAATTTTGAGGTATCCAGCATAACAGCTAAAAACATGAAGTACTTCTTAATAGTAGGCTGAAACTATTGTGGTCTAATGCAACTTCCATCTCAGAAAATGTCTAATCTACTGAGAACTGGCTGATAAAAGTCCCTCTGTGTTTGCCAATTTATTTATGTTCTCCTCAACCACCCTGTGCTGCTGAGTACCAGATGAATTTCCAGTGCCAGAGTGTGATGCTTTGACCAGATCTTGGCTCCCTCTTCTGGGAAAGCCCTGAAGGTTGAGGTTTACACTCTGAGCATGAGTGCACTTTGGGGAGAGTGGTGTGATTCTTGAGGCCATCCCATCTATGTGAAAACACTCAGCTTCTGAGCTGCCTTTGTTTCACAGATGCAAAAGAATGATATTTTTGTCCCAGCAGTTCACCACAGCCAAGCTCTAAGGTCAAAAGCTTTTACAGCAATACATCCCCAAAGTGTCAGTGAGTAGCTGCAATAAATACCAAATGAGTGAGCTCAGTGAGGAATCATTGGAGCCACTGCAAAATATGAAATGCATAAGGAGTATGAAGAGGTTTTGTAAAGTGCTGATGCTTATTTTAAATTAAGAGCTTTTTTTAAAAAAAAATTTAAAATAAAAGTCTTCTGTGACTGGTGCAAAAGAAGGCTAAAAGGAAAAAAAGCCCAAAACCAAATCTTAAAAAGATAAATGGTCAAATATAAATATGTTCTCAGTCAAAGTACATGCAAAACAGAAAGTCAGTAAGAGGCTGGATGAGTATGTGAAAAGAAATCTACTGATATTTGCTAAATACACAGAAGCCACATCTCCTCTGAGCGGTAAAACGTTTGACACTAAGAGAATATTACTGGGAATATTTTAAACTTTACTCCATTCCTATTTGTCCCTAAACACCTTACACGTTTCTGGTGCTTATAGCCAGTGTTGGAGGCAGGATAGTGGATTAATGAACCCTTGCTCTGTCCTCTTCTGACCATTTTTATTGCCATAAATGTTGTCTCAATAGAAATTTCAGCACTGTAGTTTGGAATGAAAACTGAAGGGTTAACAGAACTTCTTAAAGAAAAATATTGAAAAGATAATTTTGAACCAAGCAGAATGTTTGGCTTCCATTTTTATTTACTGCAGTATGTATTTTGCAAATGGATAATAATAAAACTTAAAAAGGCAGGACCACAAAAATTAAATTGAGGTATTTTAAAGGAAAACAAGATTTCTTTTTCTAAAAAATACATTTTTCGTGTTTCAGCATTTCTACTGAACCTTTTCAAAGAAAATTCCATTCTATCCAGCCTTTCAGAGTATGGTTCTGCAGCAATATCTGACAGCTTTGTGAAGCTGTAGCTCTTGTAGAAATCATTTAACAAGCCATATGTGCAGAGGGAATCGCATGCATCAGTTTGCAAAGCTCTAGGGCTTCAGTTTTCAAGCTGGAACTTGATCTTGATCAAATCTCCCTGCAGCTCTCCCTGACACCCAATAATAAAAGCTTCCAAGACTTCAAAATATTTCAAACAGTCTCTGATAACAAAATGTTTGAGTAATTCTATATACCTGGAGGTACTGAAAATAGATTTTGGTGTTCATGGCATGCATTAGGTACTGCTATGTTAATTGAACCTCTTTTAAAAATCTGTCTTTATCATCACCCTGCCTACACCTCATCCTTCCTCCTCCCTTCCTTGTCAAACAGCTTCATGTGAGAATGAGGTCAATATTGGTGTTGTAATGATTTCTTCACTCATTTCACAGGTACACAGAATTTTTCAGTTGGCCTCACATCTAAGTACTGGACATGTTTTAGACTGGTTAGATTTCAAGATTAGATGCAAACTGCTCTATAGAGCTGAATCACATTCTATCTGAAAAAAAATTAAAAAGGATTAATATCTGAAGAGTGCCACTTGGTTTCTATAGTTTTTTACGAACTTTTCAGAATTTTTTGGATTTTTTTTTCTACAGCAAGGAATATGCTCTCTCTTTGCCTCTGCTAGATTTTTCTGGTGCATAAATGAAAACTTAAAATTACAGAACATTTGCATTCAGTTTATTAACCCAAATATGGGCTACTCAGTGACTGAAGATTGAAATCTGTAGGGAAGAACTTGTGATGGTTCTAGGCAAAAGATGATTGCTTTGAGACATTCTGATTTTTCCTGTTTATCCCTAGGTGAAAATAAATTGATAGGCGATCTCTTAGTGCTGGGCGGAGCAACGCTGTACGGCATCTCCAACGTCTGTGAGGAGTACATCGTCCGAAATCTGAGTCGAGTTGAATTCCTGGGCATGATCGGACTCTTTGGCTCCTTCTTCAGTGGAATTCAGCTGTAAGTGAGCAGGTTTGAGCCCCAGGGTCATTCATGAAAGTACCTTCGTTGAGGTACTCTAACCACCTCTTCAAAGGTAGCCATTTCCTGTGGAGAGTGGGTGCCCTCTAATTCTGGGATTTGCATTGGGTTTCATATTTCAGATCAGTGGATTTGAATAACACACATTTGTACCTAAGTACTCTTAATTCAAGGAGTGGCATCCTTGAGTAGTCACCTGGGGAGGGATAAGACATCTTGTCGCTGGAAGACAAATGGCTACTTCACGTGTTGGTCTGATCTGTGAATAACAAAATCTACAGTTAATTCTGATTCTGTTTTATACTTTTAAAAAGTCACTTAGTTTTCTAAACAGGTAGGAAACACATCCAGTTAGAGGGTGTTTTACTGGTTGGCTCATTCTGTGTAACTGCGTTATAATATGGTGGAAATAAGGAAAAAGCCTTTAAGAAAATGGCCTTTTCATTTAAAATATGTAGTACTCAGGTGATTGTCGCATGGATTTCATGAACTACTGAGTCCTGTCTATGTCCTCATGTACCTAATGAGCATCTCACCTGCAAGCCTAATAGGGGGAAGGTGTCTTCCAGGGTTGTACTACTGTGACTGATTTAAAAGTAACCATGCAAGTTTGCCTCATTTTATGCAGCTCTGTCCGTGGTACTTGTCACACAGATTGAACTCAGGTGATTGTCGCATGGATTTCATGAACTACTGAGTCCTGTCTATGTCCTCATGTACCTAATGAGCATCTCACCTGCAAGCCTAATAGGGGGAAGGTGTCTTCCAGGGTTGTACTACTGTGACTGATTTAAAAGTAACCATGCAAGTTTGCCTCATTTTATGCAGCTCTGTCCGTGGTACTTGTCACACAGATTGACTTTTCATTACCAAGACAAC